CCTGTGTCTCTTGGGGATGAAGTTGAGAGTTTAGGGTGAGTGTGGTATCCCCATCACTGGAGAAGTTTCCTACATGACCTAGGCTGTCTTTGTGTCCAGCCCCAGATGCCAGGGGTTGGGAGACAGAATCTAAAGTGAACCCCTTTCACCATAAGGGATCCTGGTAGTTACAGCCTTTGCATGTGGCCCTGGCTCTGTCAGGGTTGAGGCAAGAAGTGTGGTAGCCTGAGGAGGCACCACCCTAGAATAGATTCCCCAAACCACCTAGGTTCCTTATGTGGTTATTCATTTACCTGGGTCAGAATTTCAGGGTGCCCTTTCTGGCTGCTGGAGATGCTGAGAGTTAAAGCTATTGGCTGTTTGAATGGATATGGCCAGGGCACTGTGGATGTCAAGTTGAGCACTGAGGGTTGAGTTGAGTATTCTCCATGCTAGTGGGAAGGTCTTCAAATCATCCTAGTGATCAGATCTCCTGTGAACCTTGGGATGACGGGTAAAATTTTCAGTGAACTCTTCTGCTGCAAGGGAGTGTGGGAGTTTCAGCCTAAGTTCAATGATGGAATTTTGAGTACAGGGCCCGACCAATGTCTGTGATCAGAGTGAGAGCTGAGGGTGGACTGAGGTGATCCCACCCCTGAAGGAGGTCCTCACACCCTCTAGGCTGCCCCTGTGGCCAACCCTGTCCCCTAGGGGAGTGAATGGGGATGGGAAAAAAATTGCAGTGACTCCTTCAGGTGCTCAGGACCCTTGGACTTACAGCTGCTGTCTAATGTGTAGACTACAGATGTTTGTAGCAGACAGGACCTGGGTCTCTTGGGGATCAAGGAGAGAGTTCAGGGTGGAATGAGGTGGCCCTAACCCAGGAGGTGGTTCATGTACAGCTTTGGCTGTCTCTGTGTCTAACCCTGGACACAGGAGGTGGGTGGCAGAATTCTGAGGTGAAACCCTTACACATAGGGGAATCTGGTAATTGCAGCCATTGCATGAGACCCACAGGGAATGGGCAGGGCCCTGGCTCTCTCTGGGTCAGGGCAAGAGGTAGAGTTGAGTGAGTAGCGCCCCCCCCCCACCCCCAGAGGATGTTTGCTAAACCATCTAGGTTCTCTATGTGGCCATTCATTCACTCAGCGACAGAATTCTAGGTTGCCCCTTTCACCTTAGTGGCAAAATTCCAGAGTGCCCCTTTGGCTACATGTCATGGAAAGAGTTACAACCATTTCCTAAGGCCCACACGAAGCAGAGAGGGCCAGGGTACTGTGAGTATCAAGGTGAGAGCTTGGGTAGACTGAGGATGCCCCACCCTGTTGGCAGCGTCCCCAAACCATTTAGGTTGCACGCCCAGCCCTTCTCCAGGGACAGAATCCAGGGTGCCCATTTCACTGCAGGGGACACTGGGAGTCAAAGCTGTTAGCTATGTTAGCCAGGAGCTGACAGGGCCAGGGCATTGTGGGTGTCAAGGTGAGATGTGCTCACTCCTCAGTCTACCCCTGCTCTCACTTGTACCCCAAGAGATTCAAGATGCTCCCTGTGTGCCCCAGAAAACTTCTGCAAACTCCAGCATCTTCTGTGGTGAAAAGGGCACCCTGGAAGTCTGTCCCAGTATACAGACAGGGCTGAGGCAATGTAGGTGTCAATGTTGAGGTGAATAAGCCCCATCCAGTTAGAAGGTGTCCAAATTACCCAGGTCTAGGTAAGTGCAGTGGCACCAACTTGTAATCCCAACTACTTGGGCAGCTCAGACAGCAGAGTGTCAAATTTCAGGCCAGCTAGGGCAAAATATAACAAAGGCCTGAGGATGTAACTCCATGGTAGAGGGCCCCTGAGTTTATTCTCAAGAACTGCCCTACCAAAAAAAAAAAAAAAACAGTAATAATAATCCAGATCAGCCTTTTTCATCAGCTCTGAAGCACACAGGGTCAGATTTTGGGGACAAACCCCTCCCCAAAACCTCAGGGATCCTGATTATGAGAGCCTTGTTCTGAAGGAGCACACTCAAGCTAGCAGAGGATACCTAGAGTAAAAACTGAGGGAATCCACAGAATCCAACTCTGCCCCTGCTGTTAGATATTGGAAACTCTAGGCATGATGAATACATGTGTAGTTACTTAATGGCTGAGACAGGTGATGTCCTTGGTCAGGGAAGAGAGGTCTTAGGCTCCAGAACATCCAGGACTCCCCAGAAATCTGCCCCTGAGGTCAGTCCAGTGAAGCTCCATATTGGGTGAAGAGAAAGGTGGTTCCCGAATTTTTCCTGTGGATCTGTGAGAAGTAGGGTTTGTTAAAAGGAGCATAGCTTGGGTGAGCAGAGGGAGGTATCAAGCTCTGCTGGAAATCAAAGTGAGGACTGAGTAGGGACTGAAGTGACCTTGAATCAAACCCAGCCTGCTCTCAGCCCTGGGAAGCCTGAAGTAAGTTTATAGTTACTATGATTTCTGACTTTGGCATCTGGGTTGGAGGGAGCTTGGGGGCTTGGTAGAAGGAGGAGGGCCTATTGGCAATCAGGGTTAGAAATGAGGGAGGACTGAGTGTCCTAAGACACAGAATGGCTGGCACCCAGCCCTACCCCTGCTTTTAGACTGAGCCTGTCCTTCATTCTGACTCTGGAATCTGAGGGAGGAGGACTCAGTTTAGGAGAGGAGTGGGCTGCTTCCAGGAGTCAAGGGGAGGACTCAGGGAGGAAGGAGGGGGGCTTGGACTCCAGATCAAAGGGGGACCTCTACCCTGACAGGCCAGGGCAGGGTGGCCAGAGGCAGCACCTTCCTGTGCTTCCAGGGTGTCAGGGATGAGTGACCATGATTGAAGTGTGTGTGCTCAGGTCAGCAGAGGGAGGAATCTCAGGGACTTCTGGAAAGACAAAATAAGAGCCCAGATTAAAGACATGGGAATGTTTACCGGAAGCCCAGGATAACTCCATGCAGAGCTGTTGGGAATGTTTGTACCCACCCCCCACTTCCTTCTCTGGGCCTTCAGGGAGATGGTGGCCTTGGCCTGCAAGATGCATCTACAGGTCAGCAGAGGGGAAAGGGCCCAGACCCTGTCAGGAGTGAATATGAGTACCTTGAGGACACTCCAGACAAAGGAGGCCCCTGGAACCTGCTGGTCTGTTAACCTGGGGAAACCCTATGCAGCCGTGTCCAAATGTGCTGTCCTCACTTCTGTCTCCTCCAAATCAGGGAGGTGAGGCCTTGGTGTGAGAGAGCTCGTCAGGATGGCAGAGGAGCCACAGCTGGGCAGCAGAGGGAGGATTCCAGCATCTGCTAGGAATCAAGGTGAGGAACTTTGGTGACAGGGACTGAATGCCATACCTCCCAAAAGAAGGGACCTCACAGAACCTGGCTTCCCTTGTAATCTACCCTGCGGGGCCCCATGCAGGGTCACTGGAAGTAAATCCCTCTCATTTCTGCCTCCTAGTTTGGCTGAGAGGTTTTATGTGGGTAGGGACCTTGGTCAAGAGGTGATGACAGCCCAGCAGGAGGAGCCACATGTGGTTAGCAGAGGGAAGAATCCCAGGATTCAAAGTTTGGACCCTATTTGAGGACTGAATCAGGTATTCCTGGCTCTGAAACAAGGAATCCCACATAGTATTGCTGTCCTCTGTGGGAGGCCACAAGTGGTACAGTCACTTCTACCATGGGCACAAAGATGGAGAGTATTTAGGGAGATAGGGTCTTTGTCTAAAGGGAAGGTGTCAGTTTATCCAGATGGTGTGGGAGTAAGGAAGATCAGGTGTAGGCAACAGTAAGAAGAATAAACCACAGGATTTGGGGAACCCCCCAGACAAGAAAACATGGGGCCTATGTCCAGCCGTTAGCCCTGGGGAGCAATATGATGAAATGTGGCATCTTCTCACTTCTGAGAGTTGTAATGTGGCATCTGCTCACTTCTGAGAGTTTTGGGGCTCTCAGGGTGCTTGATGGGACTTGATGAGACAGGGTGACATCAGGTCATCAGACACAAGGGTCCCAGGTTATCTCAAGAGTCAAGGCAAAGATCATAAAGGAGGATCATGTCCCTCAGAAATATGCTTTGTGCCAATTGTCAAGCTAGGAAGGACCCCTCTTTAATTTGTATATCTTTAATCTCCAAGAGGTGAAAGCCTTTATAAGGGAAGGCTGGACTCAGTTGAGCAGAAATAGAATCACAGGCCCAGCCAGGAGTCAACTGAGGACAAAGTGAACCTCCTCACCTGAACACATGGAAACCCAGTCCCAAATTGCCCCTTCTCTCAGCCAAGAAATTCCAGGAAACATGGGATTTGGCCATCTTTTGCCCCTGGGCAGGGGTGACCATAAATAAGGCCATCTCACTGCCTTTCATTCCATCTCTGGGAGGTAAACACTCATTCAGAGAGTTTACCTCAGAATAGCTGATGTGTGGTGTCCAGACCTTCTCAGGGGTAAGTTAAGAGCCAGAAGTGAGCACAGAGGGGCTTTTCCACCCCAGAACAAAGGGGAATCTCATGGAGTTTATCCCACCCCTCCTGTCGGACCTGGGAGTCCCAGGGTTTTGCTTACAGTCTGCAGCAAGAGTGCAGACTTCCAAGAGATGTGGCAACCAGGAGGTCAAGTAAGGTCTTCTTTTGAAGCATCATCCTCAGATCACAGAGAAGATGAGGCCCCAGGCAATATGGGGAGTCATGCGAGGTGCACACCATGAAAGTGTACCAAGGGTCCTTATGACCCCAGTACTAAGAGAACCCAGTAGTCCACAGCCCCACATGTCCAACTGTCAGCCCCACTGCCTCACACTCTGCAGCCTGGCTGGCTGTTGAAGAGCAATCTCACTTTAGTTTCTCAAGGTACAGTCCTGCTAGAAGAATTGGAGCCTCTGTGGCCCTAGAGCAACACCCACTAGTAGACCTCTAATTGGGCTTTATGAGAACCACCAAGGGTGCAGTGCTCAGCTGAGGCCACTTACATGCTTTGTTTCTCCCCAGGCCTGTGAGTCCCCATCACCAAACTTCTGCCCATCTTCCAGCCTGCTGTCCAAGGAAAATCATGATGCCTCATTTCCACTGGAATCAGTCCTCCAAGCCAGGGGGAGACCCTAAAGCCAAAAGAGAGGCACTAGACCTGATGGGTTTTCAGGTTCCTACAGATGAAGAGAAGGAGGCCACTGTCACTGCCTCCTTCTCTACTCTGATCCCCACCACACCAAGAGAGGTGCCTGCTGCTGGGCCACTAATTGGTCCACGGAGTCCTCAGAGAGCCTCCTCTCCCCCTGCTGCCATGGCTCCCAATCCATGGAGCCAATCCATTGAGGGCTCCAGCAGCCAAAGAGAGGAGGATCCATTCCCCTGGCATAACCTGGAAGACCATGAGTCCTTGCTGCCAAATGCACTGGATGAGAAGATGGCTGACTTGGTGCAGTTCCTGCTCCTGAAGTATCGAATGAGGGAGCCGACCACCAAGGCAGAAATGCTGAGTAGCATCATCAAAAATTACCGGGAGCACTTCTCTGTGATCTTTAATGTAGCCACTGAATGCATGCAGCTGGTGTTTGGCATTGATATAAAGAAAGTGGACCCCTCTGGCCACTCTTATGCCATTACCAATGCTTTGGATCTCACCTATGATGGGATGCTGGGTGATGACCAGAGCATGCCCAAGACAGGCCTCCTGATAATCATTTTGTTTGTAATCTTCATGGAGGGCAACAGTGCCAGTGAGGAGATTGTCTGGGAAGCACTAGTGTGATGGGGGTATATGCTAGGAGGGAACACTTCATATATGGGGATCCCAGGAAGCTTGTCACTGAAGATTTAGTGCATGAGCAGTACCTAGAATATCGCCAGGTGCCTGGTAGTGATCCTGCTTGCTATGAGTTCCTTTGGGGTCCAAGAGCCCATGCTGAAACCAGCAAGATGAAAGTCTTGGAGTATTTGGCCAGAATCAATGGGAGTGAGCCCAGGTCCTATCCATCCCTGTATGAAGAGGCTTTGAGAAATGAAGAAAATTGTGCCCATGCATGAATTGTAGTTAGGGTAGGGGGAGCACATGCCAGGGTGCATTCTAGGCTACATCCATAAGCTTCTCTCACCCTGTGCATTAAGGCTCATTCTTCACTCTGTGTTTGAAGAGAGAAGTCCCTCTCCTATGTAGTGAAGGGCCAATGGAAGTTTGGAGTAACACATTATATACCATCTTTATTTTCCTGTTTTCTGGGGGAGTTACTTAGAATTTGATCTGTTTTCCTTTTGGAATTTTTAAAATATTGTTCCTTCAAATGGAAGACTTAATTAACTTCAGCATATGATTTTATTAAAGATATTGATCACACATTTTTTAAAATTTTCCATTTCAACAGTAAGAGTTTGGTGTTTTGTAAATCAACTGGAAAATCTTCCATTTTATTTCATGATATGGAATAAGACACCATGGCATTGAATGAAATTTCCATGGAAATGTGTCATAATTTGCATTAAACTAGATGATCAAGAAATTTTTTAAAAAAATCAAAAACAATTCGGGCTTCTTATCCATTTTCTCATGTCATTCTGCACAATTATATATGTATATCTGAATTTTCTTTGGTTCTTCAAGCATGTTGGATAAATTTAATAAAGAATATCCAGGGCTGGTGCTGTATGTAGCTCAGTGGCAGAGTGCTTGCATTGCACATGTGAGGCACTGGGTTTGATCCTCAGCACCACATAAAATAAACAAAATAAAGGTATGCTGTCTAACTACAAAAAAAGAATACCCATTGATTGCTCACTGTTACATTTGAGCCATAAATTCTCCTTGAGTATCTGTTCTTGAAGAGCCTATTGTTAATGTTGGAGATATTACTAGGTTAGAAAAAGCCAGATCCACCCTTCCCAGTATGTTGGTCAAGTCTAGGAATGGCAACCATATAGGAAACCTAAAAGTAGGGTGAAGTAGGGTGAGGAGGTTGGGCTTCAGGGTACAGAAGTTGAATGTCAATGCTCAGTGCCAAACCAAACCAGTTTGGGAGTTGGGAGACTTGACTTAAATGAAACTGCATGGTGACCGAAGTCAGAACTCAGATGATGTGTCTTAGCACTGAGAGAATGGAAGACTGCTCTGAGCAGTTCCTTTTGGATGGTGGATGAAGCAGAGAAAATATCCACCTGGGGCAGGTATGAAAGGCATGGTGTGGTTGAACTAGATGATGTATACCGATCACTTACAAGGATTTCCTGATAAGGTTGAATCTCTCATATAGTAAAATTCTGAAGCACTTGTCCAGGTATTCCTGTGTCTCTCTTGAAGAGTGTCACTTTTGGGGGAGTCTCTATGTGGTCCTAGTTTATAAGCTTCCCTAGGGTGATTTCTCCATGTCAGTCCAACCAGCATTAAAAATGGGTTGTATATCCTCTGATGTGCAGACAGTTGATTTTGTCAGTATTCTTACAAGATGGACAGCAGGATCAGGCCAGTGGCATGGGCCAGGCTTGCCTAGAAATCAGATGATTGCCTAACCAAAAAGTCTTTGTACAGAGACCATTCTCAGAATTTGGGGGATTCTTCCTCCTGTTTAATACTATACTCCGACTGGGTCAATTACCAATTATTTGTTACATAAAGGGAGTTTAAGCTATTCTTGTAAGGATAAGCTTTTTTTAAAAAAAGTTCATGAAATTACATGTCTGCCAAGGTAGTCTTATCTCTAGGGCAACAGAATTTTTAGTTCTGTTTTCAAAGAAATCAGATAATTCCCCCAGCTAGACTTCTGGGGGAGATTATGTGAATGATATGAATGAAAATAGTGGTTTGAGTGGAAGAGAAGCTGCATGAAAGAAAGGAATGGTTCTTGACCTAAATTCTTGGAGCTTTGTGTTAGTTGCACCTATTGAGAAGACTTCCCAACACCTAATCAAATTCCTCTTGGAGGGAACATTTACTGAGCAGCATTATTGGCTGATTTCCTGTGAAGCTTCCTATTTAGCTTCAACTTCCTTAAGATGTCCTGGGAAACACAAATTCCCAGAGGAGAACATGGTAGCATCTGAGATCAAAATAACTGAAAGTAGCTGCCAATCACTAAATATCCATTATATGCCAGGCACCCTATCAGGCGTATTAATACATTTTCTACTTTCTACCTGTCATAAAAAAATGAGTGGTGAAGTTTAAACACTTGGGTATATACCTGAGAGTCAAAATGCACACTCATACTTTTCCAAATGTGTGACAAGCAGTATGATTTGGCAAATAATCTACTACTTGTTCTTGAGATGTAAACTAGGATAGTTTTTAAGCCATCATGATGTTTTGGTAGTATTTTAATGGAGTGTGTTACTAGAAACTAAACACTTCACATATACACAAATGACTGAGCTTACCTATGTGGTCAAAAATTGAAGGATCTTAATAAGCTACAAAGGGACCATGGAAATCACTATAGAGAAAACATCTAGAAAAGCTGAATTTCTAATAACTCTGGAGTCCTGTGAGGAGAGGAAAAATACTTCCTTTTTGGATGTGCTAGCTCTGATTTTAAGAAGAAAAGAAATCATCCTTCCACTGTCACTTGTCTCTATAGCTTTCTAAAGGCAAATCATGGTTTGTATAAGCCTCCTAGCATTTGTACAGGTACTCAGGCAAGTTCAGTCATATGAACTGTAAAATAACTCACAGGTTAAAATACTAACCCTTAAACAAATTAAGGAGAAAATTTTCAGCCTATCATAATTAGAGGTTATTGCAAAGAGAAATACACAAATGTGCTATTAAGTAAAGAACATGAATTCTGATATTTTTAGAATAATTTAAAAATTAGATGTGGTCTTGTATTTGAAGCATAATAGATAGTAACTGTCACATACTAGATAGTCACTTGAAAATTCTCAGGCTTATCTGACCTCAGAAAATCCTGCAAGAAAGGAAGATGTTGTTCTCATAACAAAAAAACTATTAGTTGCTTATGAGAGACACTATGAGTACTTATCCACAATTTGTCTTTCCATCCTACATGGACACATAGGAGCACTACAGTCCACTTGTAATTAGAAAATATCATGAAACAACTTTTTGCAACTTAAAATAATTATTTTGCAAGTTAAATAAATTGTCAGAGCTGGGGTTATAGCTCAGTGGTACAGCACTTGCCTAGCAGGTGTAAGGCACTGGGTTTGATCCTCAGCACCACATAAAAATAAATAAAGGTATTATGTTCATCTACAACTAAAATATTTAAAATAATTATTATTATTGTTATTTGCCACAGCCATGTCAACCTGGCAATCAATGGAGTGACAGATATCACAGCCAGATCACCCTCACATTAGTGTTAGAGCCATTTCTGTAGGAGGTGCTACAGGAACCACAGATCAATTCTCAAGCCATAATCACACAAAACAAAGACCTCTTTGTTTTCACACTTAAAATATTAAGTCATACATATTTTCTCCCTTGGATGTGAGAAAGCAGATTCTGTGCCTCTAAGGTCTTGGGCAGAAGCCACCAACAGATTTTGAATGTGGGAGTGTCTTCATGCCACCTGTACCCATTGGGCTCCTAAGGTACCACCATCAATCCCCTGAGCATTGGGATATCCTCTCCAGTGAAAATGGGAAGCAGTGTCTAAAATAGCAAAATTCTATGTTGACAATGGGAGATTTCCTTCTCCTGTTGCTGTGCCCAAATTTTTCCACTTTCTCCTGGACCTGGCCTCAGTCTGCCCAGTTTGGAGCATTATCCTCTCTCCCTACAAAGATAAAATCAGTACAAAACAGGAACTGGTGCTAATGTTAACATGTACATATCTCTATTTGAAATACCCTAGTTAAGAATCTCCTTTTGGTGTTGGGGATGTACATTCAGTGGTAGAGTACTTGTCTGACATATATAGGGCCTTGGATTTAATCCCCAACACAGCAAAGAAAAAAAATCCCTTCTGAATAAGTTGTGATTTAGGTAGAACTGGCAGGAGATGATGCAGCCTTTTGGTGAGTCTCCTAATGGTTGGTAAATAATGATCATTCTGTGCATGAGTAACAACTCACCATGATTATGGGTTATTATTTAGCTGATCCTCCATATAATGACCAAGCTTTGATGAACTGATCACCCTACTTGAGTGATTATGAGGTCTTGCTTTCTGAGGTTTGATCCAGAGAGCTAGGGCAGAGTGTACTTCTGTCAGCCACCACAAAGCCAGCTAGGACCCTGGTGTTCCCAGGCAGGAAGTTTGTGCAGACTTAAGGCTGCATGTAGAAGATGGAGCGGTGGTCATTAGGACACTCCCCAGACCCAATTTAGGACTTGGAAAGGAGCTGGGCAGGAGAGGGCTTTGGGGTTCTCAGATGGTGGTGATGAGGATCAGCAGCCCCAGCAGAGGCAGGAGGAAGAAGCCCCACTGGATCCATGTGAACATCTGTGGACTGGCCAGGTGAGGGACATAGGAGCAGAATGGGACTGGAAGTGAGCTGGGTCCCTGGGCCACATCATGAGCTAGGTGGTCCTGGGAAGGGACAGGGAAGACCCCTGTGTAGCACTCCAGGATGGAAGCAAGGACACTGCTGGGAATAGGGCAGGCACTACATGGCAGTTTTTGGAGGGATGACATGTGTGGAGAATGCTTGCCCAGGGAGGCCAAGGATATTCCATGCACCACAGTTGAATGGACTGTTTTCCAGGGTCTGACATCCTCAGCAGCAGCCTTTTGTGTCAACACATAGGCTAGAACCTTTTACATGCATTGGAGACTCATTAAAGTTGATCTGATAAAATTATTTGATTTTTGAGCAATATATTATTTAAGAAATATATCATCATCTCTAACTGGGTGCTAAGGCTTATGGTGGGCATCAGGATTTCACAACATGGCATTTAATGCTTGGTCTGAGGAGCTCATTATCTAGTAGTGGTATATGACTACATAAAGAAACTTCTGTCTCTGTGTTTTTAGAAGACCTAAGATGTGTGTCCAACAAAAAATGTATAATTTAAAAGGCATTTGTTTCCATGTGAAAAGAGTTTAACCAGATTCATGTTTCAGAGGTAC